TGCTTCATGAACCAATTGATGATAGTGATAGAGAAAATAAAACCAGGGAATCGAAACCAAAAACTTTACTCCAGTTATATTATAATGCAAGCCGAGCAGAAAAATGTATAACCTAAGTCTACCAAGAAGAAATTAGGTGTTGGTACCTGTTTGCTGAAAAATTCAAAGAAAGGGTTAAAGAAATTAAAAATGATAATAGTAGATTTAATGATCAACAGGCTAGAGTGTTAGTTTTTAGCAAAATCGCAACAAATATTCCAGGATTCACAAGAGAAAGCCTATGTAAAAAAACAGCAAAAACTAGAAATATTTATAAGTTGTTTGGTGAAAGTTATGACTCTGAAACCAAAACAGTAGTTAAGAGACTAGGGATTGAAAAAATAAAACGAATTCAATCATATAGTGCGGATTATATTTCAAAACTTAATGTTACACAAATTTATAGTATTATAAAGCATTTTAGCTAGCACAGATCGCATCCCCTAAGTTGACGTCAACGTGATATAAATATTTTTTATTAGTAAATCATATATAAGTATAATTATATATTTAAATTTATACGTATTAAAGTTTATACATATAGTGAAACCTCTATAAATGTACGCTCTTGGGACTGAACTCTAACAAAGTGCATTTAGAGAACAATAAGAAAAAGTGCATTTATAGAAATTATTCATATATTTAGGCCAGAGGTTTAGTGTGCATTTAGAGAGGGTGTGCATTTATAGAGGGTGCATTTATAGAGGTTTCACTGTACCAATAAATGCTTGTTAAATATAGGCATTCAATCGAATATCAACCTAAGGTTTATGCGTAAGACAGGGCACAAATACATTGCAGGTTTGAATGATAAAAAATTTTTTAGCCACATATAATTATTTTTTTATTAATACAACAATGATAAAAAATCATAACAATACATATACAAATAAAAAAAGCTGAAATTATATTGAAAAGTGGTATATCTTTAGAGGCTGGAAACACGGGTGTAAGGTTTGTGACAAATGTAATCATCATTCACACCTATATTGCAAAACATGCAAAAAGATGGCGGATGGAATATATAAGTGATGTGAATGTGACAGTTTAATAAGAGAAGAGATAAGTAAAAACTTCACTATTTCAAGTTCCTAACTCATCTATTATATCTTTGAATAATTATAAATATAATAAAAATAAATTTCTGTCACGAACTTACGTGACGACCGTGATTTATTAAAATATTTCTTTATGTTACGGAAAAATACAATATCGATATCAGTATTGTCATTTTATCATGTAACAATACGTGACCTGTTGTACAACAATCTGATTGTTTGTATAAACTATAAAAGGGTAAATGTGCAACTATTTCCCGCTAAAAAAATTTTCTTTCTCTGAACTTGCATTTCTTGTACAACTGTTTTCATTTAAGCAAACAAATAAGCAATCATATTTAATAATATTCCTCTTCCATCAGTCGAAGAGGTTGAGAAATGGATGCAAACTAACGTTATTAAATTCCTACAAGATAATGCAGATGAAGATAAGTTAGACCTTAACGATGATGACATCACTAAAATTAAAAATAATAAGATCAAAGGCATAGCCTTTCTTGAGTTAATACTGGAAAAGCTTCTAGCCTCCTCTTATGAGCTTCCCGGTAGACCGGCAGAAGTTATAGCAAAATTAATCAATACAATCAAAGGCAAAGGACAGGGTAAGTACCACGACTGCATTCGAAGACACAAAGTGTCGAGTCTCTGACTCATATTCCAAACCTATACTGCTTTCTCTGCAATAATTTCATTTATTAACTTGGGCCTCGCTAATACTAGAACTTAAGAAAAAAAGAAAGGCAGAGGAAGAACGTAAGATTATAGAGAGTTGGCTTTGCACTGTATCGTACTAATTCTTACTAATTTTTTGTTTGATCAGTTGTGATTACTAAGCCGAAGAAAAGGAGATGGGAAGTAAATAATGCCATTCAACCAAATATAGTTTACACAGTATATTTCGTGGATCCGGCAGAGGAAAGTTGTCCACTTCTTGAGAAGATCTAAGAAGGTCAATTTGTCGCTCTGTATAGAGCTAGAGCATCTGGCAAGTCTACACGGGTACACCAAATTCAGAAGCAGTTGAATGATGAAGGCTACATTTGTATTTAGTAAGTTCTAATTCTTGTTTGGCCAACTAGAATCATCACATGCAATCTAACTATTATCTCTGTTCTCTTCATATTTACTATCTCTTTTTCTATCTGGATCAGTGTATTTCTTGAACAAATTAATATTAAAAGCGTAGACAATTTTTGGCATACACTCGGCTCTCATCTCTATCTTGATGTTTCCAAATACATTAGACTCGATAGCATAAATTCTTCTAATAATTTCGATCTAGTGTTCCAGAAAAGCAAGTGGAAAAATCGTGTTGTTCTATTCATTGACGAGTTTGATAGCTATACTATGCAACAGAAGATGTTCTCTCTTCATGTCTAAATACCCTCCATGGCATTAAAGGAACAAAAGAAAATTATGCTATCTGGTTTGTTGTTGCCATCGGTCCTTTCAGTATCCTATATTTAAATTTGAATAATTTTACCACATCGCTCTTTAACGTTAATGAGCCATTTAAAAATCCAAATTTTACTCTGGAACAAGTGCAGTTTCTCTACAAGGAATTCGAGGACGAATATAATTTAACTATTGATCAGGAAGTAATTGAGGACATATATACGCAGACAAACGGGTAGGTGACTAGAATTACATATAACTATTTTTACTAAGTCTTAATTTTCTTACTCTATCTTTTTTCAACAGACATGCTGGTCTCGTCTGCCTTTGCGGACGTGCGATTTATAGAAAATTACTTTCAGAGTTAGGAGTGAAAATGCGCTTGAACTATGACATATGGCAACATTTTACTACCTTCTTGCTAGGAAATGAGATTTTAGAGTACCTAACTGGAGTAAAGTTTTTGGTTTCGATTCCCTGGTTTTATTTTCTCTATCACTATCATCAATTGGTTCATGAAGCA